GCCCAGGATCCCCACCCGAGTCCTGGGGCCTGGGGCGCGCGGCCTGCTGGGCCTGGCGGGATCACAGTTGTCCCAGGGAGGCGAGTGTCTGGCCGAGCTGAGCCAGGCTGTGGTTGTTCTCTGAGGGAGGGAGAGGATCCCGAGGCCCACGGCCCCTCAGACCTGGGCTTGCCCTGCCACCCTTCACGCCTCACTGTTCCGGCTGGCTTTTGTTTTTTAACATGTGTGTACAACATCGAACTTTTCCTGTCTCCTGCGCGCACCTGCACACGCACACACAGGGATGCAGTTTCAAAGGCAAGGGCTTCAGATCCAGGCAGTAACGTAAGAAGATTGACTTGCCTAAGTCAGATCATCCTCCGATTTTGATTCTGCACCCCGGTCAAGGGATTGGGAATGTGTTTCCGCAGGGTTTGTTGCTTTGCATCCCCCCTCAGTTCTTAGGGAGCAGCCTGCCACCTGAACAGAGATCAATTAAACATGAGTAATGGGCTGGGCCGGGCAGCTCCTGAGCTGAGGTTTTAGTTTCAGTTCTGATTGCTTAGGAGAGTGTGAGCAGATCAAATGGACTCATGTTTTGGAAAAAAACAAAACCCACAAAAACTTAACTGATGAAACATTTTGACATCGGAAGGTGAGGGTGTATTTTTTGGCTAAGAATATAGGAAATAGTGAATTCAGATTGACTTTTATGTAGAGTTTAAAAAAGTCATACTGTTTTCTTTCAGGAACTCTTTTTCCACATTGAAACTTAACACTAATTAATTATTTGTTGTGGTGGAGATGGATGCTGGGCTGTGCTCAGCCACTAAGCTGCGTGTATTCTGTTATTCATACTTGATTTTACTTACATTATTAATGGACTGATTTGTAGTCTTTTTAGAACGTTTCAGAATTTATTAAAATGATTTATCTTCTGGCCATTAGTTATAAATAAAGCAATACCTTTTATTAATTACAGGCAGTACTACTTCCTAGTAAACTCCTGAGCTTCTTTTAAGCAGTGACGTTTGAGTTTGGAGCTTTGAAGATTGGAATTTCCTTTGATGTATTTGTGTGCAGAGAAAGACTAGTAGCCATGTTGAGGTACTATAATAAGGCTATGTTTTTATTTAAAAAGATATCTCCTTGCCTAAACAATCATAATAAGTAGATACTATCTCTTAAGGTAAAACTTGGTGAAGTAAAGCCAGAAGTAGATAAAATGGCAAAAGATGGCACTATTAAACTGTGTTTCATAACCCATTGCTGTCAAATTGTGGCTTTAACAATTCTTTTTTTAATGCTGGTCCTGGGCCTTGAACTCTGGGCCTGGCTGTGCTGTCTTTGAGCTTTTTTTTTTTTTTTTCCTCGAGGCTAGCTCTCGACTGCTTGAGCCACAGCTCCTTTCAGCTTTTCGGTGGTTCACTGGACATAAGAGTCTCATGGACATAAGACGGAGCTCACTTTGAACCACGCTCCTCAGATCTCCTGAGTAGCTGGGATGACAGGCGTGAGCACTGGTACCCAGCCGAGTCATGGCTTCTTGTGTAGCAACTTTTTCTTTTGAGACAGAGTGACTTTAGCCCAGGCTGCCTACTACTTGAGATCCTCCTGCGTTGGCCTTCCCATGGCTGCTATTAGAAGAATGTACCAGCATGCCCAGCCCGCGTAGAATCTTGTAACTGTGACTTTTTGGTTTGTAATCTGGACTTCTGATGTACTTAAATTTGTGATGGTAAATCTTCCGATATGCTTATCCTTTGATGATCGTCATGTTCTAAGGAAACACAAAGTTGTTTGATCTGGAGGCAAGCCCAGAAGTAAGTCAAATTGATGGTTATTTCCCTCTCTGTTTAATAGATTTTTACTTCTTACGGTCTAGGTCATTACAAACCCTAATGATGCTCTAGGCTTTCTTTAGTGAATCTCACTGGAAATACTTGCTTCTGAGATTTTATTTTCTTTTGAGCTCTCAGGATAGGAAAAAAAATTACGCTGGGAAGGTGGCTTAGTAGTAGAGCCCTAGGTTCAGTTCCTCAGTACCACATGCACAGAAAAAGCTGGAACTGGAGCTGTGGCTCAAATAGTAGAGTGCTAGCCTTGAGCCCCAGGAGTGGCAAACAAAACAAAACCTAAAATCCAAAATAGAAATCAGTAAAAACTTGGTTGCATCAAAATAATAGCGAGCCAAGGCTTTGTTAAACCTCTGCAGGCATATGAAATAATGTATCTTACTTTGTACAGGGCGTCCTTACTTGATTAAAGGAGTGAAGAGAGCCATGGGTACTGGTGGCTCACGCCTATCATCCTAGCTACTCAGGGGGCTGTGATCTGACGAGCTCGGTTCAAAGTCAGCTCGGGCAGGAAAGTCCATGAGTCTCCAATAAGCCACCAAAAACCAGAAGTAGAGGTGTGGCTTGAGTGGTAGAGCGCCAGCCTTGAGGCAGAAAGCTTAAGGGACAGGGCCCCACTCCTGAGTTCAAATCCCAGTACTGGCTTGTGTGCATGCACACACACACTCAACAAAGTACACTTCCTTTTGTACTGTACATGTTTTTCTTCTGGATCTGGTGGTAGAAGCTAGGATCGTGTGCATTCTAGGCAAGAGATCTACCACTGAGCCATGCCCCTCAGCCCCTCATATACTTTCATGTTTCTGAAATCTGTTTGAAGCCAGGCCCCAGTGCCACACATCTGTGATACCAGCTGTTGGGGGCCGGGGGTTGTACTGAGACAGGAGGATGTGAATTTGAGGCCAGCTTGGGCAGCAGTGGACCTTCTTCCCAGAGCACTACTGTACTAGCTTGGAACGGGTCTTGGTGCGCTCACACCATTTTGTGACAGTCCAGTGTGTATTCTATCAAATATCCATAACCTTTTGTTTTGTAGTATTGATATGTACTATTTGATATTCCCCTTTAAGTAAAGAATAAAGTTTATGCACGTCCTCTCTTCAGCTGGGTCCCCTTCAGTGTTGGGTGAACTTATGTATTCATTAACTCTTTTTTTTTTTTTTTGGTTGGTCGTGGGACTTGAACTCAGGTCCTGGGCGCTGTCCCTCAGCTCTTCAGCTCAAGGCTTAGCGCTCTACCACTTGAGCCACAGCGCCACTTCTGGCCTTTTCTGCTTATGTGGTGCTGAGGAATCGAACCCAGGGCCTCAGGCATGCAAGGCGAGCGCTCTAACACTGAGCCACCTGCCCAGCCCTTGTGTTCACTTACTCTTGTACTGTGCCGGGGCTCTGACTACTCAGGGCCATATGCCCCGACACAAGTGACCTCTCCCTGATGTGCACTCAGCCTGGAGGTCTGGTTG